AATATTTGTTGAAGTTTACAACCAGTTCATCTTGTTCTCTGTCCCCACTATGCTGGCTGGCATTCAGATGAATTCACAGGCCCTTGTTCTGATTTTTATTCTGCCTGGAACACTCCCCTCTTCACCTAGTTAACTCATCCTCCTGATCTAAGTACGAGTACAATTCTTTCAGAGAAACCTCTGACTTTCCTTTCCATAGCCTCTGTCAATACTGTTGCAATTTTACTTTTATTTGTATAACTGTTTACTATTTGATTGTAAATTTCATAAGGAGAGGGACCTTATCAGTTGTGCTCATCACTGTACATTTTCAGGGACCAGGAGTAGATCTTCAGTATAAATTTGCTGAATGAATGAATGACTTCCATTGTTGTTGGTTTTGTTGACTGTACTGTGCAGTTTGTGGGTTCTCATTCCCCCCACCAGAGATTGAACCTGGTCCACGGCGGTGATAGCCTGAAATTCTAACCACTAGGCCACTAGGGAACTCCCTACTCTTTTCATTTTTTAAAAATACTCCTCTGTCCAGGAAGTGGTGTCCAATTTCTAGAGCTGGGTCAGAGGTCAATCCCAGGCTTGCATTGGTGCTGTGCCATAAGTCATTCCAGTGTTTTTGAACTGAACTCAAGTACTATGATTCTTTCTTACCAAGGCCAATTTGTCAGTCCCAGAGTTCTCATTACCGCTTATCGGGGCTTTATTATGCTGCTACACCCTCTAGCAGGGGGGCTAGAAAAGTCAGAATTTTGGCTGGGTTGGGAGTGTGAAGTAGGATTTGCCATTTATTCCTCTTTCCCCACCCCCCTCAATTTCTATCTAGTGTTTATCATACTGAGTTGTAATGATTAATTTTTTAGATATATCACCCCCTTATCCCCTAGCAAGGCAGGACTATCTCTCGCTTCCAGAGGCTTGAAAGAATGCAATGAGATTTCTTTAAGGAATGCAATGTTTTCCATGAATGAAGTTTTATTGAGGACAAAAATCAACTAAAAGGAGAGGGCATTACCTCTGTTTCCTTTTTTTCCCTAAAAACCTGAGTCAATAAGTCTCTTTTTGTTTAATTTGGGTTCCGTTTTCTGTGACTTGGAACTGAAAACATTCTGATAGAGCATAATCCATGGTGTTAAGGTATAGAATCTCTGACAGATCCTTGTTAAAAAATGTTTATTCCATAATAACTCCTTCTTACCTCTCTAAGAAGAACAGACTTCTCTACCTCTTTGTCTCTGGGCTCAGCTATGAGACTTGTTTTAGCCAGTGGCATCATAGCAGACATGTACAAAGAGGGGTGTGAAAAGTGCACAGTTGGTTATGCCCCTTGTACCTCCGCCACCTCCATAAAAACAGGTTCCCTCAGGTTCTGCCCCTTCAGCTGGGGCCCCAAAGTGCATATGCCTGGAGAAGATCAGAACTCAACCTGCACACAGGAGCCAAGCCCAGTTGAACCTGCAGTTTGGAGCCCAGCCACCCAGCCAAGCTTACGGTCATCTCCCAGACCTATGAGAAATGAGTGTTTACTATGGCAGGTTGCTGCCATTTTGTAGTTGTTTGTTATGGAGCAATCACTGACTGATAGGCCAGGGGTTTCCAAACTGGCAGTGTATGGGAATTACTTAGACAACTTTAAAGTAAATAAGGGATACTTGAGCTTCCCCCAGAATTCCTGGAGTCACATTCAGAAATCTATATTCTTTTAAAACTTACTGGGTGATTTAAAAATATATATATATATATTTGACTGCTTTGGGTCTTAGTTGCGGCATGCAGTAAGTAGGCTGAGCTGCTCTGCAGTATATGGGATCCCAGTTCCAAGACTAGGGATTGAATCTGCACGTTCCCCGCTCCCCCCTCCCCCACAGCCGCCTTTCTCTGGAAGGTGGATTTCTAACCACTGAACCACCAGGGAAGTTTCCTCTGGGTGCTTTTTATGTAGTGAGTTCCCCACTCTTTTGCTGTCTGCATGGGTCACCAAAGTTAAAGGATGTGATGGGGATTCTATTAGATGACCACTAAGATTTTTTTTTAACTTTAAAAATTTACTGGGGTATAGTTGATTTACGTGTTAGTTTCAAGTATATAACAGATTCAGAATTTTTATAGATTATATTTCATTTAAAGTTATGAAATGTTGGCTATATTCCCTGTGCTGTTCAATATATCCTTGTAGCTTATTTATTTTATACATGGAAGTTTGTACCTCTTAAGATCTTTTTTCCTCTCTAAGACTGAATGACTGAAGTCAGAGGACTCCTGTTTCTGAAGTACAGTCCTTTTCAATTTGAAAACTTCTGAGAAATCTGTGTTAAATTTTTCTTACCTGATTTGGAGAAAGATGCAGAAATAAATGATCTGTGATTTCTGGCCATAGGGTTTTTGGTTTTATTTAAGGGTTGTCTCCTTGTAGTATTTCTTCCTGGACTATGGTTAGCAGTCAAATGAAAATTAAAAGCAGAAGACTGGGGTTTGGAGAGCCAAAACACATGGCAGGAAAAAATCACTTGGGAGGTCATGTTTAATGGAGAAGCTGTTGAAGGAATGGTCTGAGAAGGAGCCTTTAGCTGTGGCTTGGCAGTCGGGAACCCGAGATCACACCTAATGCAGAAGCTAGTTGAATTTCAGCTGTAATAACTGCCATGCCACAGCCCGGTTTAGGTTTGAGGCAATCTTATTAAAATGTTTCAAATGTGAATTTATATCAAAAGCATGATGACAATATAATTTAAAAGAAAATAGCTTTTTGAAGTTTTAACAAAAATTTTCATTGAAAAAAACTCAAAAAACACAGAAAAGTATAAAGGACAGGGGTCTTATTCATAAGCTTACTTTTTAGAAATAACCACTGCTAATATATCACTGTATATTCTTCTGAACTTTTTTCCTATGGATATGTACACACACACGTCTATTTCATAGAAATAAGATTTTCTTACACATACTCACTGGTGTTCTTTTTTCCATTTCAGTAAACACTAACCTAGTCATCATTGCTAAAGCTGCATAATACTCCATTGCAAAAACAGGTACCATACTTTAGTTCCCACAGATGGACATTTAGATGATATCTACTATTACAAAAAGGCTGTGATGGATATTCATATAGACATTTTGTGCTCTTGTCCAATTATTTTTTCAGGATAAATTTCAATTCTTGGAATTGCTAGGTTAAAGGATAAATGTTTTAAAGGTTTCTGATATATAGTTGAATTGCTCACCTCAAACATAAATTAATAAAGCAAGGTTTTGTCATTTCTTTGGGGCTTCCCCTGTGGCTCAGCTGGGTAAAGAATCCGCCTGCAATTCCGGAGGCCAGAATTCAATCCCTGGGTTGGGAAGATCCCCTAGAGAAGGGAAGGGCGATCCACTCCAGTATTCTGGCCTGGAGAATTCCATGGACTGTATTGCATAGTCCATGGGGTAGCAAAGAGTTGGACACGACTGAGCAGCTTTCACTTTGTCATTTCTTTTATCTCTTTTAGTCATCAACAGGAAAAGAAAGCTTGTCGGTTTAATCTGCCTTTTACTATTGCTGGGTTTAAATATCTTTTTATATATTTATTGTCTGTATTTAAATAATGTGAATAAGACGTTAGCGCCCCATTTTTTTTTTTTTTACTCTATCAACCTTTTATTTCTAATTGATATTGTGTTGTCTCCTATTTACATTGAAGAAATTATCCCTAGGGTGGTTTTGCCCGTGGCAGCTTTCCACACTATTAAAAAATTTTATTTGTCAAATTCATCAGTTTTTCAACGAGATTTATAAATTCCTTCTGAGGTGACAGGCAGCATAATAGAATGAAAAAAGTAGAGGAATTTCAAACAGTTCAGTCCATCATTTTATTGCTGTGGCTGGGTCTCACTCATTTCGCAGTGTGGCAGGAAGAGCCCTGGGTTGGGAGTCAGATCACTTTTCCCCTCTGGCTCTCAACTTCCTCCTCTGTAGAAGAGGGATGAGAGTGAAAACTCCTTTGTAGGGCCGTCAGAAAGAACTGGAGGGAATTTGTCCAGGTCTTGTACGTATGAAAATTCTATCCAAATATTAGCTATTCTTAGTGAGAGATGGCAATACAGAATTTTAAAAACTATTTTAAATTCAGTTGGTGTTTGTGGGAATAGGGTAAGGGTGAGGATCCCGCTAATTCAGCCATTTACCCCCATCTCTAAGAACGACAAAGCTGGAGTCAGAACGTGAGTTCTAATTCTGGGGTCCTGCCCGTCTTCCTCGTAGGTGACCTTGGACAAGTCACCTTCACTTCCCGCGGCTGTTTCTTCACCTAGGAAATAGCTATCTAATAGCCCACCTGCCCTTTTCCCGGCCAAACTGCTGGGCCAAGGAAACGCTTCAAAAACGCTCACAAATGGGCGGCAAAAACGTCTGTCAGGGTAACGCCTTCGGAGCCCGCTCGGCGCCCGCGGGCCCCGGGTGGCAGGACCGAAGGGCGGCCGCGCCCCCGAACCCCCGCCAGGGCTCCCGCCGCGCCGCAGGAACAATAGCTCCCCCGGAGGCGGCGCCGGCCGCGGGCGGGGGCGGAGCTGCGGGCGCGGGCGCTGGGGGTGTGCGCGGGGCGGGGTCGCAGCCACCCCTCCCGCCGGCGGCTCTGTCACGCGCCCCGCACCGGGCGGGCCGGGGTCTTTGTGACGCGGCGGCGACGGCCGCGGACACAAAGGGAAGCCGAGGAGTCGAGCGAGGGGCTGGGCCTGACCCTGCCCCGCGACCCCCGCCCGCCGCGCGCGCGCCCGCTCGTGCCCCGGCATCGGTCTCCCCGCGCGGGCTCGCACGCTCGCGCGCACTCGCCCCGACCCTCCGACTCCGTCCCGAGCGCGGCTGGCCCGGGCCTGCGGGCGCTGCGGGTGGGGCGGGGATGCTGAGGGGCCGCTCCCCGGCGCAGCGGCGCGGCTGCTAGGAGGCGCCGAGGCAGCGGCGGGGCTCCCGGCGCGCGGCTGGATGCCCCGGGCCTGCGGCTCGCTGCGCTTCCCGCCGTCCAGGGGCGCCAGCCATGGGCGTCGTGGCCGCTGAGGCGCCTCTCCGGCTGCCGGCCGCGCCCCCGCTCGCCTTCTGCTGCTACACGTCGGTGCTTCTGCTCTTCGCCTTCTCTCTGCCCGGGAGCCGCGCGTCCAACCAGCCCCCGGGCGGCGGCGGCGGCGGGGACTGTCCCGGCGGCAAAGGCAAGAGCATCAACTGTTCAGGTAAGACCAGCCGGAGCGCGCCTCTGCGGCCCCTCCTTCCTTCCGCCCTCGCGCCTCCTCCCGCCTGGTCCCCGCGACGCGGCCCGGCCAGGCCGGGGCGTGGGGCGTCCCGGGAGCCGGGCCGAGGGTGAGCGAGGGCTCCGGGCGGGGCGCGAGCGCGCGATGCGGGCTTGGGGACCCGCGTGGGGCCGGGGAGTGGCCGTGCGTGCGTCCGTGTGTGCCAAGTGGCTGGGCGCGGGCGGCCGGGCGTGTGCGGAGGGGAGGAGGCCGGGCCGGCAAGTGGGAGGCAGCTGGCCGGGGCTCCCGGTGTGGTCGTGGGTGTGCACGCGGGAGCGCATGTTTGTGTTGTGAAGGCTCAGGGGAGGGAAGGGGCGGCCCGAGGCAGGGCTTTTCTGTTGCTTGTGTGACGATGAGGGGCCAGGGGAGTGACCGTGCGCTGGGGAGGTTCCTTCTTGGGGGGCACTGGGGTCTCTCAGGGGTCGTGTGGGGAAGGGGAGCGGCTGGCCCAGAGGTCGCAGATCGGCCATGGAGCGTGACTGTGTGTGTGTCTTTTGGGTTGAGAGGTGGGCGCTCCGGGCTCGAAGTGACCCCGGGTCTGTGGATATGAGCCGGGCAAGTCCTGGGGCCATGGAAGTGACCCTCTGTTGTGTGCGACGTGCTGGGTGAAGCCCGCGGCTCGGGGATGTGCCGGCGTATACATTGAGGAGGAAGGAAGGGGGTCCTGGCGTAAACCCCGTGTGTGTGGATTCAGAGGGAGGTTAGCTAGGGAATCATCATCCAGTGTAGGATGTGGGTGAGAGAAAGAGGTAATTAGGTCTCCGGGAGTGCCTCTGTGCAGAAAGGTGTGCCCCGGCTTAAGGTGTGTGAAGAGGGAACCGGTTCCGAGGGAATAGTCCTGTGCGTCCGTTGGGCTGTTTTGCAGGAGGGCTTGGAGATTGGCAGCCACGGGAGCGAGGGAGTGACCTCTCCCCTCTCTCCAAGGCCGCCTGCCCCCCCACAGCTGTTGCAAACAAAGAGCTTGCTGGGGCCGTAATGGACGAGACTGGGGAGGAGGGGATCCTGGCAGTAAAGTTCCCTCTTCCTTTCACGACGGGTCCCAGAGGAGCCCTGGAGCAAAGAGAGGCTTCCAGGTCTCATTTAGGGGTGCGTAGGTCCTCCTGGAGCTGGCCTGGCAGATGCTGGTGATCATAAGCCACAGCCTGGCTAACTTGCCCTTCTATCAGTTCTTATTTTCCACTTGTGTTCTTTAAATGAAGGGTGGGAGAAGAGGCATGGAGGTCGGGGGTGGGGCTGAAGAGAGAATGGACTTCAGGTCGCCGAGAATCCTTTGGTTAGCCTGCCAGACAACCTTTGTACCCAAAGAGCTCTTGAAGGGGCATTGTTTCTGGGGGAGTGAGGGAGCAAGTGCGCCCCAGCACAGATGTTTATACTACCCTAAATCAAGAAAACCTTTGGCCTGCTGTTTAGGTTTGAAGGTCTAAAGTCTTTTAGTAATTTTCATAATGGCATATTTTATGATGGGGGAGGGGTTATGAGCACAGTAAACAATAGCATGTCCATTAAAAGCTTTTCCATCCGTGTAATAACTTTTACTTTATTTTTCTAATGTTGAGTGGAATATGGGATAATGCTTTAATACATAATCACACTTTAATGGTTAAGAATAAAAGTCATTAGTATGTTAGCATGCCCTTTTGTAACAAATATTGGCTATCAAACTTGTAAGTGATCACACCATGTCAAAATATTTTATGGGATAATGTGCTGTGGTTATTTGTTCTTGCTGAGCTAATTTGTCCTTAGCACAATAAAGTGTGTATTGATAGATGTTTTTTGGGTATGCTTGCTAACTCTGGTGGATAGTAGAAGTTTAAAAAAAAAGACACAGAGGGCTGAAAACCCAGATGGTGTAGAGAAAAAGGAACAATTTGGGGATTGTGGCCCTTGCTAGGCAACTATATGATTTGGAGCAAGTTACTTAATTTTCTTAATTTCCTCTTTTATTAAAGGGATTTGGATTTAATAATATCTGAGCCTTATTTCAAGGGTATATTGATATTTCTATATGTATACAATTAAATGAAGCTTATTAAAGAAAACGTTTCTAATGCTAAGATATACTTGAATAACTCTGGGTCTAAAACTAAGAGTTTTAACTAAATGGTGTTTGTAGATTCTTGTTGTAATTGTTCCTAGGATGAAGATCTGGGAGTAATTCACATGGAGAATAAATATTTTAGAGTTGATTAATTAGAGAGCTATAGTACTGCAGTTTGGACATGTGTTGTTGCCGCCATTTAGTTCCTAGGTCTTGTCTGACTCTTTTGCGACCCCATGGACTGTAGCCTGCCAGGCTTCTCAGTCCATGGGATCTCCCAGGCAGGAATACTGGAGTGGGTTACCATTTCCTTCTCTATGGGATCTTCCTGACCCAGGCATCAAACCCGTGTCTCCTTCATTGGCCAGCGGATTTTTTTTTTTACCACTGATCCACTAGGGAAGTCCCGTTTGGACATTCAGTTCAGTTCAGTCACTCAGTCGTGTCTTGACTCTTTGCAACCCTATGGACTGCAGCACGCCAGACATCCCTGTCCATCACTAACTCTCAGAGTTTACGCAAACTCATGTCCATTGAGTTGGTGATGCCATACAACCATCTCATCCTCTGTCGTCCCCTTCTCCTCCAGTCTTCAATCTTTGCCAGCCATCAGGATCTTTTCCTGATGTCAACACTTCGCATGAGGTGTCCAGAGTGTTGGAGTTGCAGCTTCAGCATCAGTCCTTCCAATATTCAGGACTGATTTCCTTTAGGATGGACTGGTTGGAACTCTTTGCAGTCCAAGGGACTCTCAAGACTCTTCTCCAACACCACAGTTCTAAAGCATCAGTTCTTTGGCACTCGGCTTTCTTTATAGTCCAACTCTCACATCCATACATGACTACTGAAAAAACCAGAGCTTTGACTAGATGGACCTTTGTTGGCAAAGTAATGTCTCTGCCTTTTAATATGCTCTCTAGGTTGATCATAGCTTTTCTTCCAGGGAGCAAGCATTTTTTAATTTCATGGCTGCAGTCACCATCTGCAGTGTTTTTGGAGCCCCCGAAAATAGTCTGTCGCTGTTTCCAGTCAAACTGCCGCACAATTCCACTCATCTCACACGCTAGCAAAGTAATGCTCAAAATTTTTCAAGCCAGGCTTCAATAGTACATGAACTGTGAACTTCCAGATGTTCAAGCTGGATTTAGAAAAGGCAGAGGAATCAGAGATCAAATTGCTGATATCCGTTGGATCATCGAAAAAGCAAGAGAGTTCCAGAAAAACATCTATTTCTGCTTTATTGACTATGCCAAAGCCTTTGACTGTGTGGATTACAGCAAACTGGAAAATTCTTAAAGAGATGTGAATACCAGACCACTTGACCTGCCTCCTGAGAAATGTGTATGCAGATTAAGAAGCAACAGTTACAACTGGACATGGAACAACAGACTGGTTCCAAATGGGAAAGGAATACGTCAAGGCTGTATATTGTCACCCTGCTTATTTAACTTCTATGCAGACTACATCATGAGAAACACTGGGCTGGATGAACCACAAGTTGGAATCAAGATTGCCGGGAGAAACAGCAATAACCTCAGATACGCAGATGACACCACCCTTATGGCAGAAAGTGAAGAGGAACTAAAGAGCCTCTTGATGAAAGTGAAAGAGGAAAGTGAAAATGTTGGTTTAAAGCTCAACATTCAGAAAACTAAGATAATGGTATTCAGTCCCATCACTTCATGGGAAATAGATGGGGAAACAGTGGAAACAGTGGCAGACTTTATTTTTTGGGGGGCCCCAAAATCACTGCAGGTGGTGATTGCAGCCATGAAACTAAAAGATGCTTGTTCCTTAGAAGAAAAGTTATGACCAACCTAGACAGCATGCTAGAAAGCAGAGACATTAGTTTGCCAGCAAAGGTCCATCTAGTCAAAGCTATGGTTTTTCCAGTGGTCATGTAATGGATGTGAGAGTTGGACTATAAGGAAAGCTGAGTGCTGAAGGATTGATGCTTTTGAACTGTGGTGTTGGAGAAGATTCTTGAGAGTGCCTTGGACAGCAAGGAGATCCAATCAGTCCATCCTAAAGGAAATCTATCCTGAATATTCATTGGAAGGTCTGATGCTGAAGCTGAAACTCCAATACTTTGGCCACCTGATGCAAAGAAGGGGCTCATTTGAAAAGACCCTGATGCTGGCAAAGATTGAAGGTGGGAGGAGAACGGGACAACAGAGCATGAGATGGTTGTATGGCATCACTTATTCAAAGGACATGAGTTTGAGTAAACTCCCGGCGTTGGTGATGGACAGGGAGGCTCTCATGCTGCAGTCTATGGGATTGCAAAGAGTCAAGACACGACTGAGCGGCTGAACTGAACTGAACTGTTTCCACTGTTTCCCCATCTATTTGCCATGAAGTGATGGGACCAGATGCCATGATCTTAGTTTTCTGAATGTTGAGTTTTAAGCCAACCTTTTAACTCTCCTTTTCCGCTTTCATCAAGAGGCCCTTTGGTGGTTCTTTGCTTTCTGCCATAAGGGTGGTATCATCTGCATAAGGGTCATTTGCATATCTGAGGTTATTGATATTTTTCCCAGCAGTCTTGATGCCAGCATGTGCTTCATCCAGTGCAGCATTTCTTATGATGTATGCATCTATTAATGCAGTGTGAGATTGTGCATTGATTTTTTTTTAGTACCTTTTATTACCTAGGCATTTCCCACATAAACTGGTTTACTCCTTTACATGTTTGAGTTTTAAAATCTAAATACTGGCCTTGACTGCCTGTTAATTTTCATTTTGGGTTTTCAACCATTGTTTCAACCTATTCTGACCTTTCTGAAAACTGATTCTGTCAGGCTATGTGAGTTGGCTTACTCACAGTCCTGTGGCTCTTGTAAATGTAAGGAGAAAGTCTGCGGCTTCATTAAATTAATCACAGTTGTTTAGATCATGGAAA